GAACAGCTGGTAGTTTTGAACTGCTGGCCTTGAGGTTTGCAGCCCAATTCATAACCACTACGCTACCAGAGCTCCTTAGTAGCAACAATAGGATTAGGTTTATGACTAGTGCTAGGTCTAGGGTTAGAGTTAAAGCTATGACTAGGTTACAGTTTGAAGTAGGCTCAGATTTATGGTTAAGCTTACTGCTAGGAATAAGTGTACAGTTAGGGTAGATCATAAACTAGTGTTAGACTCAAGGTGTGGCACTTGTAGGATTAGCACAGGACTTTGAACAAGGTTGGCAGTTTAAACCCACCAACTGCTCCTCAGAATCGCTATAGCGGATCTTTATAAGTAGGAACTGACTCAATGGTACTTAACAACAACAACAATTAATGTTAGATTTAGGGTTTGTGTTAGGGTTAGGGCTAGGACTAGATCTTGGAATTTGGTTTGGTTTAGGGCTAGGACTAAAGTAGGATTAGGATTAGTGCTAGGGTGAGGGATAGGGCTGGGTTTGTGGATAGAACTAGAGTAAGAGTTAGGGTAAGGATTAAATTTCAGTTTATTTTAAGGTTACGGTTACAGCAGGGGCAGGTTTTGGGTTAGGACTAGGGCTAAGGTTAGATTTAGGGTTATGTGTAGTGTTGGGATTATGGCTGGGTCTGGGGTTAGGGTTAGATTTACGTTTATTGTCAATGCCAAGGTTAGATTTATAGTTTAAGAAAACCAATTGTCATGGAGTCGATTCCAACTCATAGTGACCTAATAGGGTTAGGTTATGGGTTAGTTAGGGTGAATGCTCCAGCTAGAGCTAGGACCGGGGCTAAAGCTAGGTGTAGGATTAGGGTATGGTTAAAACTAGGGCTAGGGCTATTATCAATTTTAGGGTAACAGCTAGGACTAGGATTTGGGATAGGGTTAGAGTTAGATTATGTTTAGGGTTTTGAGTATGGATTGTTGTTATTGTTAAGTGCCTTCGAGTTGCTTCTGACTCATAGTGACCCTGTATAGGGTTTATGAGGCTTTAAAACTCTTTGCAGGAGCAAAAAACCTTATATTTCTCCTTCAGAGTGGCTGGTGGGCTCGAACCATGGACCTTATAGTTTTTAGTTCAGTGCTTATTGTATGGAGCCACCTTACTCTCTGAGTATGAATAGGGTTAGGTTTAAGCTAGGACTAGGGCTAGGTTTAGGGTTTGGATTAAAGTTAGGTTTAGCCTCAGAATGAGATTTAGGGTTAGTGCTAGGGTTAGAGTTATGGTAAGGGTTAGTTTTAGGGTTTGGGTTAGGGATAAGGAGTGGGCTAGGGCTGGGGCTGAGGCTAGGTCTAGGGTTAGTGTTAGTGTTAAGACAATGACTAGAGTTATGGTTATGATTTGGATTAGGGCTAGGGTGAAGGCTAGGCTTGGGGATAATGTTAGGGTTAGATTTAGGGTTGCGTTAGATTTATGGTTAAGGTTAGGACTAGGGTTAGAGTTATTTTAGGGTTCAGAGTTATGGCTAGGACCAGAGGTAGGGCTAGGGCTAGAGTTAAGGTTAGGGTTAAGGTTGAATTTAGGGTTAGGGCTTTGGTTAATGTTAGATTCAGTTTTAGATTTAAGGTTAGGAATATGGTTAGGGTTAATGCTAGGGTTAGAACTAGGGGTAGAGTTAATGTTATAAGTAGTGCTAGGGTTATTGATTAGGATTAGGGTTATGATCAGGGCTAGGAATATTGCTAGAATTAGGGTTAGTGTTATGGTAAAGGCTATGTCTAGTATTAGGGTTACAGCTAGAGGTAAGTCTAGGGTTGGAGTTAATGCTAAGGTTAGATTTTTGGTAAGTAATGGTCAGGGTTAGAGATAGAGTTAGGGTTGATTTTAGGGCTATGATTAGATTTAGGGTTAGATTATGGTTAGGGTTAGCATTAAGACTAGGGTTAGAGGTGGTGCTAGAGCTAGTGTTAAAGTTAGGACTAAGGTGGTAGTTAGGGTTAGGGCTAAACTCAGGCTAGTACTAGGATTAAGTTTGGGTGAGTACTAGTACTGGACAGCATTAGGACTAGGGTCAGGTGTGGAGTTAAGTTAGGGTTAGATTCAGATTAGGGTTAATGTTGATGGTAGGGTTAGTTGTAGGACTATGTTTAGAGTTAGAGTGACTGTTAGGTTTGTAAGTGAGTTAGGATTAGACTTTGGTCAGGGGTTAAATTTAGCAGTATAAGTGGGAATAAGTTTAGGGAAGGAACTGCATGAAATTTTAGGAGTAGGGTTAGGGTTTAGAATTTAGATTTAAGATTAGGCTACGGCTAGCGCAAGAGTTAGGATTAGGGTTAGTGCTAGGGTTGTTGTTGTGAAGTGTCGTCAAGTAGATTCCAACCAATAGTGACTCTGTATAGGGTTTCCGAGGAGCAGCTGGTGAGCTTGAACTGCCGAACTTGCAATTCAAGCGCCTTTGCAGTGTGGCTAAGGTTAGTGGGGATTAAGTGTAGGGTTTGTAATGATTTAGGGCTTAAATTCAAGATTAAATTTAGGCTAGGTTTGTTGTTGTTAAGTACCGTGGAGTTGGTTCCGATTCATAGTGACCCTGCACAAGGTTTCTGAGGCTGTAATCTTTACGGGAGCAGAACGCCTCCTCTTTCTCCCGTGGAACTGCTGGTAGTTTCAAGCTGCTGACCTTGTAGTTGGCAGCCCGACTCATAACTACTACGCTACCAGAGCTCCTTTAGGCTAGGTTAGATTAGGGTTATAGCTAGATTTAGATTTAGGCTTAAAGCTAGGGTTAGGATTGGGAGTATATATAATGTTAGGGCTAGGGCTAAGGCTAGGACTTGG